TATGGTTTTCGCCGTTGTCTCATTTGGAACGTGGCTCAAAGCAGCAGCAGCCACCCGCATTCGGGTTTCAGGTTATTGCAACCCCCGCCGCGCGCGTTTCACTTGAGCAATTGCGCAATTTCTTGTCGGCGTCTGCAACGTGTGAGGTTCCATTATTTCTCCGTCTGCCTCCTCTCTGCCTTTACAACATGAGAATCCGCATTCAATTGGGGCAATCGCCATGCGATAAGCCTTCAAGACACGCAGCTCTAATGCAAATTTGTCAGTTATTATTAAATTATGTATTGCAATTCAATTTAAAATCGTGTGTGTTTTCGTTGATTTTCTTAAGGTTAAATGTAGTGGGAAATGAAACACTTGCAAATTATTTTGGTTTAATTGCTTTTCATATCAAAACTCTATATTATTTATATATTATATAGATTAAGATATAAATGGAAATGAAACGTAGACATAACTTGGTACATTTGCTTCCCTATTCGTAGTTTTGCTAGGTTAGGTACAAATGGCAATGAAACACAATACAATTTTCATACTTGGAGCATATCTATCCTTGACACATTTCATACAGAATCTAAGATCATATTTAACTATAAATGGAAATGAAGCATATATTAGTTTTTCTCCTATTCGTAGTTTTGCTAGGTTAGGTACAAATGGTAATGAAACACAATCACCAACGGGTATTATTTAGTGAGATTAGGTACAAATGGAAGTGAAAGACATTTCAATTTAATTACCCCAACCATTTCCTTTAAATATTGCATGCTTCAATACAGTTGCCATAAACTTAAATTTTGCCCTTTTTTAGTTAATTTCGGACAAACATTTTTATTGCCAATATTTCGCTTTAAGGCCATGCCAGTTCCCAACATTGTCTATCGCCTCGTCGCGCCTTTAGCTAATTTTGCCAAAATATTTATGAAGTATATGAAAAAAACTTTTCGGTCACAAAATGGCCATAAAGTTGATTATAATGTATTTATGAAACAGTTTCCGGCGCTGGGCTCATAAAATGGTCAACGACAATTTTTGGCCAAAACGTCGACAATTTAGTAATTTGTTCGGGCAACCACTTTCCGCCCTCCCACCTGCTGCTGCTGCTGCTGCACCCCGACATGAAAACGTAACGCGACGGCAATGAAATGAAATGCTCAAGTGAAAACTTGGACTAATTAACGCGGCTGGCCGTAATTTGAAAGGAAAGTGCGCCAGCTTTATGAGACAACAGAGCAGCGCAGTTCCATAAAATACAGTTAAATAAAACACACACACTCAAGGAGAAAAGAAAATTTATGCCCACTATTAGAGGTAGAAATCTGATATCACAAAGTTTATTATTAGGAACACGGGAGATCGCATTACATCAACTCAACGGCAATTGGGCGATTAGAGGTTAAGTTGAATAGTTTATAGATGGGTCTACCAGCAGAAAATGGTTTAGGCTAAGAATATGCAATACGATAAGGTGAAACGAAATGGAATGGAGCACGAGACAGCTGCTCATTGAAATGCTAAAGAGAGATGCAGCAGTTAGAGGGAGAAGAAGAGGCTAACAGTATTAATAAATATTTGATAATTGAGTACATGTGCGCCTAGCAATGCTTCAGATAAGCTCAACAGCCGTTGCTTCTCTTAGGGTTACATCATAAAATGAAATGGAATGAAAGAGAGACAGCTGCAATAATGAACGAAAGATACTGCAGTTAGAGAGAGAAGAAGAGGCTAACAGTGTTGATAAAGTACGCAATATAAACCAAAAACAAATTGAGTGGAATAAAATGGAATGAAACAGTTACATGTGCGCCTAGCAATGCTTCAGATAAGCTCAACAGCCGTTGATCCTCTTAGGGTTACATCATAAAATGAAATGGAATGAAACAGAGACAGCTGCACTAATGAACGAAATATACTGCAGTTAGAGAGAGAAGAGGCTAACAGTGTTGAGAAAACGAATTGAGTGGAATAAAATGGAATGAAACAGTTACATGTGCACCTAGCAATGCTTCAGATAAGCTCAACAGACGTTGATCCTCTAAGGGTTACGCGCACGCCTTAAATATTTGTTAACGTCACGAAATGAAATGGAATGAAACAGAGACAGCTGCGCCTGAAACCGTTAAATGCGAGCATATGGTAATCCGCAGTGGAACAATTACAAGAAAGACCATACAAAAAAAAAAACGGCGAAAAAAAGTGTAATCTGGCCTCGGGCTCAGCAATTTCGGCGTCAAAAACGCTGACATTTCTAATTTGCACGACGAGCAGGGAATCGGCGACGTCGGCTCGTACAATGGTCGTCGGGGTGGCAAGACAAATGACGGGGCAAGGCCCAAAAAATAATTCGAAGGAACGTTTAATTGCGGTTAAGCGGCGACGTCGGCGTCGGCTTCGGCCAACTTAAAGACGTCAAGCCCGAGACCTGAGACCGGAGACTGATGGCTGCCCCAGGGCGCGGACTTCTGCCAGGGGTAGCTGAGTCGCAGAAAAGTTGTGCCCCGCTGCACCACGCCCTATTCAATAACTCAACAAAAGCCGCACAAACACACGCGCAGCGCAACTTTTATGCATTTTCAATTACGAGAGCGCTTAAAGAATATTCAAACAGCCATCAAAAATGGGCGGGGGGCCAATAAAAAAAAGGAAAAACTTTTTTTTTCTTTTTCGTTTTTTTTTGCTCTGTTACCCTTGTTGTGTAATATTTGTATGTGGCCTGGATTGCGTGTGCCCCTAGCCCGACCACGGCCCGTTCACTCGTTTCGTTGTTGTATAATTCATTTCTATAGCCACTTTTATTATTGATTTCTACAGCTCGGCGCATTCAAGTCCGGGTCTCATTTAACGTGTAATTGCTTGTTTAGCTCCATTCAAAATGGCCCGTCGTTTCCATGTGTGTGATAAGAGCCAATTGTAGCTGTTGTTGTTATATATCGCTAAATTGTAACTGCCTGTTGTCTCTTCTGCTTGTGCCAACAGCTAATATATAACGCGCACGGCGTTGATTTATTGGCCTTAACGCGCCGAACCGTGCCTAATCTAACTGGGTCGATCTTCGGCCGGGCCAACAGTGTGAGCGCCCCCTAACGCTGACTAACTGCAGAAGGCCAAAGAATGGAGCAAAAAATATAAACGATTAAAATGTGTTTGATTTATCGATTACGATTATCATTATATGCGGCCATAAAAATATAATATCAATAAGACTGTATAAATTGTGACAGTATTTTAATATGGCCAATAAAAGAGTGTTCCATTCCACTTGGCCCACCCACTGTACTCGAAATTCAACTATAAATCTCATTATTATTTAAAAAATCAAGCACTCTAAGGCTTTACAAAATTGTTATATCCCTCACTGGAGCTCTTGATAGTTGTTTGAATAGATAATAATGCAGTTCCATTCCGTTTTGTTCCGTCAGAATAGAATGATCCGTACCAAAAAGCTGTTAATACTTGAATTTAACATTATTTACTTAGATAAAATAACATGCCAGAAACAATCACAATTTCCTCAAATCTATGTTCCATGCCATATTGTACCTAACCTCACAATTAATGTGCGCAAATTAACAAGATGTGAATTAATACTTAAGCCACTTTTTCTTTTGCTATTAAATCAGTATGAGTTGCCCTAGCAAAAGTTGCCTTAAATTTCAAAGCTTGCTGCAGCTGCATTTCGTCAATTTGCATTTGCGTTTGCATGTTCCATGCCACATTGTACCTAACCTCACTCTAATTGCGACACGCCTCTTTGGCGCTTTGCTGGAAACCCGTCCATGGCCCTCTCAACCCAACCACTTGCCACACTTACGAGTACATTTTATATTTTAATTTATTTTGCCTTTAACGAGCATTACGAGCTTACGGTCAGCTAAAACGAAACAAAAAGTGGAAATTGGCGCAAGGAAAGTGTGAAAAGCAAATAAAATACGCTGAAACCAAAACTTAAACAAACAACAAATAGTTGGGCCTGTTTATAAGTATATACATATGCATTACAAGCACATGTACTTCAGGGCAGGCAAATTGGCTCATGAACTAAATATCAAAGGCCGTGCGCTCATTATATTTTATGGGCCTACCGGGCCGGTCCCCAACGAGCGCGTCGGCATAGTTTCAAGGCTCATTTGAGTCAGGTGAGGTCGTTGCCAAAGTTCTTGACGTTTCGTTCTTTTTTTTCCGCTTTTGGCAACGGCATTTAACCTTCGCATTTGCCACTTTTATTCGATTATTAATGCCAAACTGTCAGGGCAATCTCTAATTAGCGTTAACTGATTTCATAATTTGAAATAGTTTTTTAAGAGAATGGAATAATTCTATACGCTATAAAAGTGCCAAAACTGGAACGTATTGGAATGAAACACATGCTAAACCTGCTTGTAACTTGTAACACAAATGAAACGTACTTTGTCCGCAAATGCAGTTCATTAAAACAATGAATATTACATTGTTGCCAGTGAAAAGGCTGTCAGTGTTTCGATTGCCAAGACGTTCCCAAAGGCTCCCTTGCGCGTGCTCAATTTGATCAATGCAAATCTGGTCAATGCGCCACAATTGTCAGCGGACCGTGTCGAAGTGGATGCAGCGCACGCCATGCCCCATGCTGTTGCTGCTGCTGTGGCTGGTCAGCGTCCAGTGGTGCAACAACTTTTAATTAAATCTAATTGCCCAGCTGTTGCAACAACAAAGAAACAATGCCAATAATCAAGGCTGCAAGCCGGGCTCAATTCGAACCGGTTCGCGCCTACAAATCCGTGCCCCTCAACATTATTGTAATACGATTGCGACTTTTTAGCTTTTATTCCATTTTTCTATTAAATATAAGAAGCAAGAGAAATGAAAAAAGCCTGTTCTATTTTAAAAAAGATATTGTTTTGGCGCGCCTCGAATCCGGCTCCTTGCAAGTTCACGAAATGAACCCAGAAGCGCGGGTTCGAGCCCCCTGGTGGAAAGTTTTTTTAATTGTACTAATTATTCTTTTGTTCTTTTTTCTGCTGCAGAAATCCGGCATCAGCAATTCCGGCTAAACATGTCGCGCGACTACGAGCTGAACAGCGTGGCGCAAGACGATCCCGCACTAATTGCATTCCTGCGCCAGATCCATATGCGCAAGTATATGTATATGGCCAAAAGTGGCGCCGTCTCCAGCTCGGGCAAGGCGCCAGCTGCCAGCGCAGCTGTACCGCCCGCCGGCACGGGCAACAGCAGCGGCGGCGACAGCGTTGCCGATCAGCTGGCGCACTATGTGTCCGATCTGGTCGGTGGGAAGCTGAATGGCGCGGTCATTCAATCGCTGAGCGGTCCGCTGGCGCATCTGATAACGGCGCCCTGGCTGAGCGATCAGCTCAACTGGATGGGCGTCCTGGTGGAGCCGGAGCCGCGCTGGTATTTCGCGTTGCGCAAACAGAATGCGCAACGGCAGCGTATGCAGGTGGTGCATGCCTGCGTTTCGCCCAATCCCTTTCCCAAAGAGGTGAGCCGTCACTTGCAATTGCTTGATTACTTGAATTTTATAAATACAATATTTAATTCAATTGCATCTCTTCGCAGATAACCATACACAATGAGGATGTGCGCATAAATAGTTTGCACGACGAGGAGACGTCGTGGTTCAATTCGCGTGTCAAATGCTTTCCGCTCTACACAATCATGCTGGCATGTGAGCGCACCGAATACGATCTGCTCAGTCTGGGCGTGCAGGGGCATGAGCTGGAGGTGAGCTGGTCATATACCCTGTATATATATTTACAGAAATTTGATTAATATATACCGTTTTTGCCTTACAGATCTTGCAGACGCTGCCCTTTGACAAGATCAAAATCGACATCATTTCGATACATTTGCTGGAGGATCACGAAGATGTGCTCGATTATGTGCAGAGCATAACCAAGTTCCTAGCTGGCAAATTCTATAAATTGCAGCGCAAAATCGGACGCAATTATTTCTATCAGCGGCTCAATGCCAGCGCCGGACGGACGCGCAAAAAGGACATACTGCTGCTCAAGACGCCACAACAATAACAACAACAACAACAACGAATTGAGGACTAAAAGCCTTTATAAAATAATTGCTAAAGAAAATGCTAATTAAAAAAGAAAACAAACAAAAAGCGAACAAAATTTTGCATACAAGAAAAACAAATACTTTCGATAAACTCAAAAACGTTTATGTTATAATGATAATTATTATATATACATATATATATATATACATATACCATGCCACGCTCTATATATATATACTATATATGTTAAATATTATATACAACCCATACTATATATATATGTATATATATATGTATGTGCATACTGTATGTTTAGTTTCTTTTTGTCTTCAACAAATAATCGATTATTGTTTATCCTTTTTTTTTTCAACATTTTTTTCTTTTTGTGTCGAAATTGTTTAATATTATAATTTTTTTTCTCTGCTGCGTGCGTTAAATTTTGTTCATGATGCTAAAATGCGCAACTAGCTCTAGCTAAGGTATTATGATTTTTGCTCTAAGCTATGCTAACATATACTCTATATAGTTACATATATACAAATATATATATATATATATTATTTAATTTAGGCGCGCCCCTAAACTTGTCTTGATCGTGTATGTATAAATTACAAAAATTTGCAAACTATTATTTGTAACTGCTTTTTGCTATAACTACATAATATAGTACTACAATATTATAATAATAATAACTATACAACTATAAATTATTAACTATTGAATGCTTTATTTAGTAAAACATAAGTGAAAAACAAAACACACACACACACACACAATAACTAAATGCAACACATTTAAATGATATTAAATTATTGAACCAAAATGCAAACCCAAGCACATTCATACACACTCACACACACACACATATACGCAATTATATAAAATAAAATAATAAATCATTGCAAAATCTGCTTTCAAAACTCATCTCATACTCATAGTTAAAAGTAAGCAACAAGAAGAAGCAGCATAAATAGAATTCGTATAATTAATTAATTAATTAAAAAAAAAACAATAATGAGCAACAATTTACAAATGAGGCAGCAAACGAAATTAAGCAAATCGAATGAAACAAATTAATTGCGCTTAAAATTAGCAAAGCAAAAGCAAAAGCAAACATAAAACCCAACACACATGCACATTTTTATGTATTAGCAAATAAATGTATGTAAATTAAATGTAGAACAACAAACAAATATTAAATAATTATAAACTATATAAACATGAGTTAAAACACATACAGATACACGCGTATTTTAATTACATTTTTAGTAATTACATAATGTATTATTATTTTGTATATTTCATTGCACACACACACACACACACACACACACGCACACTTTGACGGTTGTTGTTGTTGTTGTTGTTGTCGCTGCAATGTGAACTCGTTGCACCTCGCACTAGCACACACACATCTACACACACACACACACACTCACTGCAGCATCGTATATATATTAAAATACAAACAAATCAGTGCCTTTTACTTAGACTGTAAAAAAAAATTGAAGAAAATAACATAATTTTTGTGTTTAACAAAACGTGCAACAACCGTCAATTAGATAAACCACAAATTGCCGCCTCCTAAACTTGCCTTATCGATGTTGTCAGTGCTGGCAGATCAGCAAGACTTTCTATATATATACACATATATATATATATATCTTAACTATATAGATCGGCCAGTTAAACAAGCATAAAACTCGCACAGTTACTAAACAAATCCGTCACAACAATTTAATTAAACGCTTTGTACAAAGTAAAACGAAACACATAAATCCAACTACACACACACACACACACACACTCACACACACACATAAGCATCACTTTTAAACTTAAGCCTATTCGCAAGTTCTAATTAGTTCTAATTAATTAGTTGTGTATTTTTTTTTCTGTGTAAATTAGCGTTTAACCAAATTTTAAGTAGACTTAATTTACCTTAAACATAAAGCATATATTTAATTTGGCATCACACACACACACACACACACACTCATACACACACACACACTCAAGAAAAAAGGCTAAGCTCGAAATTATTTATGAACGTAAGCATAAAACGAAAAACTTTTTAGTTAATAATACATAAATAAAGCAACGAAAAATTCCCAAAAAAAAAAACAAAAAAAATGATGTAGAAATTTGAGTTTTGATCTGGCACAGCATATAGAACTATATTCTATATAATATCTGTATCGTAACAAAAGGTAAATTGTTCGTCTTATGAAAAGAAATGACTTGAAAAGCAAACAAAAAAAAAAAACAAACTTTTGAATTATATATGCAAAAAACGCGAAAATATATGCTAAAAGTAGCGAATAATCAACCTTATAGCTAGACACTTGCAAACAAATTGATAAACAGGCTTACAAGAGAACTAAAAGCAGAATATGCTGAAATTTATTAACTAAAACCAACAAAATTTACACAATAAATAAAATAAAGATTTACATAAAATGTATAAAAACAAATATGTTGAATGCGTTTTGCAAAAAATCAAATTTCGAATTTAGTCGGTTGTATTGATGATTTATATAGAAGCGTGTGAGTAAACGTATGCATTATATATTTTACATTATAATTTCCTTGGAAATATATTGAAGTCTAGCTATTAAAAAGTATATATAGTGATAGTGTAGAGAATCAAGACTAGGTTCAAGTTGTATTCGATTCCCAGATAATCTATGCGTTCATATACGAGAACATTTATTGACAGAGTGTAAACGAAAAACTGTGCTCATATGTATTTGTTATGTATTTACTTTGATTTCCGGCAAAATGGCCGCAATTAAAGCGTCCGCCCAAAAGCAGGCAACACTTTTTATCGCTGCGCTGTCAGGAACAACTTGTTGCGCCAACAGCAACAACAACAACGTCAACCACGCCCACCCTTTAGCTAAGCCAGCAAATGGCGTCAGTCAAAGCCAAAAAGCCAACACTTAGCCAAGGGCTTAGACAGGCCCCAGCTAAGCATTGATCCCCTTTGATGCGACCAAAAGCCGGAAACGAACAAAGCGACGGGCAAACTCATTAAAAGGGTATTAGGCATGCAGTTGGGTTTTATTGAGTGCTAAAATGAATACGCTACGCACAGCTATGCCAAGAGGCGAATACGCATAGGGATTAGCAGAGCAGCGGCGCGGCAGAGCGATAGTGCGACAGTGCGGCGGCAGCGCAGCAGCAGAGCGACGCTTTGGCATGGCCATTGTCTGGGACATGGGCTGGCCGCTGCCTTCCAGCGCAGCGGCGCCGCTGCCTGGAAGCTCGCCCTCACATTTTGTTGCTGTTTGTTGTTGGCTGGCGCCCGCTCAGCGTCGGCAACAGGCTGTTGGCGGAGCTTTTGCTCGCGCTGCGACGCGCACGCGTTGCGCTGACACACTAACACACATGCAGCGCGGGCAGCGGACAGGCGCAGTCGACGGCGACGCTGCGCACGAAAGTGAAAGCTGCGACTTTCAAACTGTTGCGCGCTCGAGCTCCTTCTGCAAAATCAATAACGGCAGAGTGCGAGACAAAGCAAACAGCTGTCAACCTACGTCAAGTGCAAGTGGAAGAGGTGGAGCTGTTAAGTTGGCTGTCGCCGTAGCGCATATGCTGCGGCATATGGCAAACGGGTGTCAGTTGGTAGCAAAAAAAACGTTATATAACTATTTTAAGTTCACAAGTTTCTTTTGCAGCTGCTGGTCAAGTTAACATCAAACCTAGTTATGCTGCAGCTATGCACACTATTTTGGCCAGCACTGTGCTGACGATTGACATTTAAACTTCAAAGTGCCACTGAAAGTAAGGGCAGCGGGCTTAAAAAGCTCTGGCAAAGCTTTTGCTTGATGGCGTATGTGCCTAACCTACAGCACACAAGCAGAGCTAACCAACGCACACACACACAAACGCACGAAAATGCGTAGGAATTTGTAGGCAACAAACTTGTGTGCGTGCGTGTGTGTGTGTGGGTTTGCGTGCGTGTGAAACTCCGAAGCGGCAGCGCCGAGCCACAAGCAGCGCTGCAAACGAACGGTAATTTCAGTAGGACAGGCAGTCCTTCGACTGACGGTCAACGCGAGCAGCCACCAAAAGAATTTATAAGCAGCACCCAAAACTAAAGCAGGCAGCAATAGGAGCAGTGAATGAAAAGAAAAATGTAAAAGAATGTGTTTCATATATTATTTATCTAACAGAATATTTAAAAAACATTTATGTACTCTGTTAACAGACAGGCGAACAAATATGGCGACAGAGCTTTCGGCTTGGCCAGTGCCAGTTACAATTTTATTTGTTCGTCATTTAAAAGCGAAAGTGAAATGAAAATTTGACACTGAACTTCACGAGATAAATGTGTAGATATATGCATATAAATCTGTGTGTGTGTGTGTGTGTGTGTGCGCATGCTGACAATAACAGCGGCCCGCCCAGAACTATGCTGGATAAAATGTATGGCTCAAGCATATGGCGAGCTGTTGTTGCTATTTTAACAAGAGCATCAACAAAAATAACAACAACAACAGCAGCCGTGACGTGCAATTATAAGTATTAGAGCATGCATGTGTCTGTGTGACTGTGTGGGGGGGTGTGTTAGTATGTGTGTGCCCACAAACAAGCGACAGCGTAACGGACAATTTGCGCAAACAACAGCAACAGAAATAACTGGCATGTCAACTTGACTTGTATACACACACGCACACATACTATGTTAGTCGTGTATGTGTATGTGTGTGTGTGTGTGTTAGCCTATGACAGCAGCACCCGCTTATTGCGTCGCAATTCGCTCTCACTCTTCCGCACTCGCTCTCCCGCTCTCACTCTCACTCTCACTCTTTGCTCGTGGGCGTGCGACACGCTTCTTTTTTTTTTCTTTCTTTTGGCCGCATACAAATACAAACAAGCTGGCAATATCAGAGTGACATAAACATTAACAGCGCGGCGCCTTCTGGGCAATTAGATGCCCAGGCGCAGGCTCTGCCGCCCACTCTGCTTTCCATTCATGCTCTCTTTCTTATTTAGTTATCAACGTCATCGCGCGCCTGCAAACACCTGCGGGTTGTCGTCTGCCCACACACAAGCACAAATACAAACACACACGCACACACACACACACACGCACACTCAGTCACAAATCGAATTACCGGCGCTCTCATAAGCTCACTCTGTGGCTTTCGCTCTCTCTCTCACTCTCTCTCTCTCTCTCCCTCTCTTTGAAGAAGCGTTTCGCTTAGGACATCGAGCGGTCGCTGCTGCTGTCGTCAGTCGCTGACGTTGTTTGCGTCAAAAAGAAGTTGTTGCTGCTCGCCCACAGGCAAAGAAGCGAAGAAGAAGCACCAGTAAAGAACAAAAATTAACAGTACAATTTAACAGTTTTTTGATGGACCTTGTCCAGAGTCGAACGCATCTGTAATTGTATTTGTGTTGTGTGCTTCCTCTTTTCAGCTGGGCAACAACAAGAAGTACAAAGTTAACGCAAAGCCAACAGCAATCAACCAATCAAAAAGCAACAACAACAACAGCAACAACAACAACAACAACAACAATTTGCATGTCTTCGTTCATTTGCGCTGAAAATGATATAAAAACCTACATGAGCCACGCTATAAATGTCAAACTGAGGTGAGTCCCATTGTAAATAAATGTACATAGACATACGTATATATATATAGATGTGTTTATTTGTGCGTGTATCTGTGTATATGCACGGTCTAGTGCGGGCTAAGTGAGTTGACCTTTGACGTGCGCGCGTGTGTGGCAACAGGTGCGCCTGCCTGTACCCCTCCCCCTCCACCATTCTCCGGCATTCGTCGTTGCCTGTCTTAAGGGCAAATGCAATATGCAAATCGCTAACAGCCCCAGTTAAAAACGCGTGCGGCATTTTAATTAAATGTATATTGTGTAAATTTACCATCTACAGGGGCAGATCCTTTTTCATCGTTAGCTTAATTAGCTTCAAAATTCAATTTTTATCATTTTAAAACCATTTTTTTAAAAAGATCCCAAGAGTATTTTTATCGTGGCCTGGACATAGCAATAGACACAAAAGTAGTAAGCAAAAGTCGAATTTGAATAAGAAATAACTTTTGAATCTCGAACAGATGCCGACTGTTGATTGCCTTTCTTAAATTTGGGGAAATTTTACAAAAATGGCAAGGGGTGTATCATGTACATCACAAATTTTGACTAGATAGGTTCGATCCTCAGCTGAAATACCAGAGGAACAGAAATGCCCAGCAGGGAGATGCACAGGAAAATGTAATTTAAAAAAAAAAATTTCATTGCATACCCGCATGGTGTAAAAATGATAATATGATAACTTCATAACAGTCCATTGTTAATTAGCAAATTGAGCTGTTATTTAACAGTTTGATGTTAAACACCTGTTATATAACGTTCACTGTTAGGTAGCTGTTACTAAACATACCAGTGTTAACATGTGCTGCTAAGCGGGGCTGGTGAGATGTAAACGAAATTTTGACAAAAATACCAGGCGAACAGAAATGCCCAGTAGGCAGATGAACTAAAATTTTACTGAATAAAAAATTGCATTGCATACCCACAAGGTGCAAAAATTTTCTTAACGGTCAACTGCTAAATCAACGCTCGCATATTTCTTTGGCACACCTTAACTGTCGCTATTAACAGCAGGCACAACATACTGTTAAGCTGCAGCTATGTTAAAGGGGAAAGCAAAAAAGCGTGTATTATTCTGGAGCATTTCCGTGAGCATTTTGCGATTTGGTCCTTTAGGTTCACCAGGACAGTATCTTTGGTATGGTTAAACCAAGGATATATTGGTCATCTAGGAACCATCGGTTGGGATTGTCTGTGCGTTTAACTCGTGGAGGTCCATATAATAGATTGGCATCAAAGTTTTTTGATTTATGAAAAAAGTCATTTTAGCAAATATAATTTTTGATCAATTTGGGGCAAGTTTTAGAATGCGGATTTAATTAAATTATATTATTTTGGGGTTGCATATTTATACATATTTTTATTTTTATTTTTATTTATATATTTTTATATATTTTTTTATTAATAGAATGAAGATAATAATTTATGTATGTATGTCCTATTTAAGAAAATATCTAAATAGCTCCTACAAGTCCTGCGTTCAACAAATCGAATGATCCAGCTTACGAGATATCAAGCAGATTTCGCGCCCCATCCATATGCTGATGCTTGGTTGCAATTAATATTTCAAATTCAACGGCCGCCAAATTCCATTTGGCATGTCGGCTGTGTCGCAAAATTGGACCCAAACTCAGCTGAATTACCAGGCGAACAGAAATGCCAGCAGGTAGCCAAAAGTCAGAAACATCAGAATAAAAACAGATTGTGCGCCGGCGCGCCATTGGTCAAGCGAAAATCCATGATGGCTGCTTGACGAAATATGTAACTGTAACTATCCTTTTGCTTTGATTCCTCTATGCATATTAATGAAAACCTTCTTTGTTAAGCATAAAAGTATGCAGCAAAAATGTTGAGGCCATTAATTTGACAGCAGCGCAAAAGTATGCAATACATAATATTTACAATATATTTAATTGACTACGCCTTAGCCCCCAGGCAATGGAGCATACCTGATGTCTTCAGTGTGTGCTCAAATACAGGTGCGAGCATCTTCTTGTGCTTGTTATTTACGTCGTTTCAATGGAAACGCAGTCACGTGCTGTGCTAATTTCGGGCAGATCAGGTGGCAGGACATGTGCCACGGATTCAATTGACGCATTTGTGACGCAAAGGCAGCAGCTGCCGATGGGGCAAGTGCGTCAATTGTGTGCTTGAGCTCCTTCATTTACTTTGATTGAATGCTGTTGACAGGCTGGATGTGTGGCGATCCGAATATGCTGGCTTAAATATAGCGGCAACAACAACAAACAGCCAAACATTTCTATGCTTCGGAGATATAAATGTCACACAGCGGGAAAAATTCATTTTGATTAAGACTTGTGTAAACAGCAGCCGGAAGCTGTGCTGCCCGCCGCAATTCTCTCGTCGCGACGCGTTCGCTTTATAAATGAAACGCAAATATTTGTGCGTCAACAATGGGGCAGCATATAAAAAAGCAATTCGTAAACTGCCACACATCAAATTTGCCAGATAGTTCAACAGAGAGGCGCTAATAAACGAACGAAACGAAACGAAACGAAAAAAAAAGAAAAATAATAGGAATAAAAGCACTTTCGTTTCATAGTTGAAAGACTCCATAAAAACAAAGTCCGGCGCTTGCATAAATATTTAACTATCCACATAAAAAGTGTATCAACATGACGAAAAACAAAAACATAAACAAAAATAAAACCTAAAGAGTTGACAGAGCTCTTCGCAAGTAAGAGTTAAGTAAAATATTTCGTAATATTTAATTATTTAAAAAGTTCAGCAATATTAAGCATAAGTTCATATAAATTGTTATTAATTTTCCTTCTTGTCGAATAATTATTGTCAATTGATCATCAATTTTTTATGTTCATTTGCAAATTCAATTTGGTTTTTATGATGTTGTGTGTAATTATTGTGACATCGATTGAATTATATCAATTTATATCAATGTAATTAAACCACGTTCCGCCTTCCAGCATAATATATGTTTCATTATTTCATTATTATTTGCTAATGTTCATGTGTTTATTAATTTGCCCAGATATCTTGGCCTTCCTCTATCTTTACCTACATTATTTCGATTTTCGAGCCATAATAGCTTTAATGGAGATTTTCATCGGAACACTCCACGCTCAACAATTTATTGCGCCCTGAAAAGTATGCAATGAAAATTTTCCGAAACATTTGTTGATATACCTAATTTTCGCATTTCATGAAATGATATTAGAATATTATTTGTTTTCGAAGTATACAGATGTGTTTACGCGCGCAGCACTTTGCCTTTGATTTTTACTATCCCAATTTAATCGACTTGCCCTCTCGGGAGTATAGTTTGTTTTACCGCGAGTGCATGCTGTGTGTTTTCGTGCACTAAGCAATTTAACTTGGAGCTCTAGTAGTTTCTGCCGGTAAAAATGGTGTGTTGTTTTTGCTTTTTGCATAACTGCATATCGCTGGTCTCTAACTTGCATAGGTTCCACGGGTCAAGTGGGCGATACTGTCGTCCTACGCAATGGTCTGCCTGTAGGCAGCACAGAAGTTCATTCAGTATGATCGAGATGGCACGTTCGAGTTGCTCCCACTAAGCGAACATTTTGAGATCAAACATGTTCGAGCTAACTAGCTAACAATCTAATGAATGATGGTTACCAAGCTGATTGTTCCGAAAAGAGAACATATAGCCTGTCTATGAAGTGATGATCAAAAGAGACGATATTTACTCGAGATATTAAAAAAAAAATCATGAAAAAAGTTTCAATCACATCGGTTTTTAGGTCAACAACTTTTTTGAACCCATCGATTTTTTTTTGTTTGATTTTAATTTGTTTGAATGCCAATTTATAGTAGGGATCCGTACGAATAAAAAAAGGTATAAAATTTCAAAATCAGGCGTTATTTACTCCGCGATATGGAGATATGACGTTCCAAAACGACATAGCTCCGCTGGAGATATGACGTTCCAAAACGACATAGCTCCGCTGGAGATATGACGTTCCAAAACGACATAGCTCCGCTGGAGATATGACGTTCCAAAACGACATAGCTCCGCTGGAGATATGACGTTCCAAAACGACATAGCTCCGCTGGAGATATGACGTTCCAAAACGACATAGCTCCGCTGGAGATATGACGTTCCAAAACGACATAGCTCCGCTGGAGATATGACGTTCCAAAACGACATAGCTCCGCTGGAGATATGACGTTCCAAAACGACATAGCTCCGCTGGAGATATGACGTTCCAAAACGACATAGCTCCGCTGGAGATATGACGTTCCAAAACGACATAGCTCCGCTGGAGATATGACGTTCCAAAACGACATAGCTCCGCTGGAGATATGACGTTCCAAAACGACATAGCTCCGCTGGAGATATGACGTTCCAAAACGACATAGCTCCGCTGGAGATATGACGTTCCAAAACGACATAGCTCCGCTGGAGATATGACGTTCCAAAACGACATAGCTCCGCTGGAGATATGACGTTCCAAAACGACATAGCTCCGCTGGAGATATGACGTTCCAAAACGACATAGCTCCGCTGGAGATATGACGTTCCAAAACGACATAGCTCCGCTGGAGATATGACGTTCCAAAACGACATAGCTCCGCTGGAGATATGACGTTCCAAAACGACATAGCTCCGCTGGAGATATGACGTTCCAAAACGACATAGCTCCGCTGGAGATATGACGTTCCAAAACGACATAGCTCCGCTGGAGATATGACGTTCCAAAACGACATAGCTCCGCTGGAGATATGACGTTCCAAAACGACATAGCTCCGCTGGAGATATGACGTTCCAAAACGACATAACTCCGCGCGGAGATGCTTTTTTGTCGATTTGGGCAAAATTTAGATTTTCAGTATTTTGATGGCAATTGATAGTACTGATCCTTACGAGTCGAAAATGGTATAAAATTCCAAAATCGGACATTATTTGGCCGGAATATACCAAAAAATCATCAAAAAAGGTTGACTTTACAAACGAAACGAGTGCTGTCTCTTTAAAATACCAA